ATTGTTTTTGTTCACTTTTGATTTTGTTCCTTTTTTCCCTCTGTTTCAGTTTATTCATATTTGGAACCTATATGCTTCGATCAGAACTAGGATAGATATGAATATCTGTCAGTTTTATGTTTGTCTGACAGTTTCCCTTCCTCCCTTTAGATCCAAGAAAGAGCAGCACTATTCAGTAGATTCCAGGAGTCGGTCTACAACTGCACCAAAAACATGTCTCTATAGCCGAAGCTATATCTATATCCAATCTTCTTCCTCCACAGTAAAGTCAGACATGACAAGGATATGATCTTTCCCGTTCCAACCCCTTTTGAAACCGAGCCATGCAGCCGGGCATGACAAGCCACTTCACACCGTGACTGGTTACCAAATGGTTCAGCAGTTATTGTGGATTTCTTTTGTGGCATGGACACGTACCGCACTGCCCTGGCCTGCTCTGTAGGGCCACAATCAGACACCAGAAGAATCCAACTGGGGTGTGGTGTAGGCTTATATTGCTGCTCTAATCCTTTCCATCCTCCCGAGGGCGGAAGGTCATTGTGTGCTCCTTCTGCTTCTATCTTCACTTCGTTATGTTACATTTGCAAGATATGGAGACCACTACTAGGCTGGGTTGAAGCTTGCCTTACAGATGACAATAAACAATAGGGATCACTGATGCTTTGGGCTTATGTTCCCCTGTAATGACTTCTTTTTAATACTCATGGGCTTAATGGAAAACCCCAGGTCATTGTGCATGAAGATTATCGTATATGACACTGTTATTAAAAGCAAAGGGAAGTTCGGTGTGTTTGTCGCTCCAGGATTTGTTTTGCAACTGCATCACCTTGCTAAGAAACATTGAGACAGGCAGAAATGTGTCCCTGGGTGTTGCTATTACTCATCGGGTTACCTGGCAGCAGTGTTAGTGTACAGAGCATTATAAACAGTGCCATGGAACACACTGGCTAATGAAGCCTCACATTTAATTATTTTAAAACTAGAGAAATTTCTCCTTTTTTTTTGCTTTCTGTGTCACTTTGTGGTGACACATTTTTAAATTTTTTTAGAAACCTGCAACGAATAGACAGGTACAATGCTTTATTACTACCTACTAAATACAGAAGAAGAATAGTTGTAGAAGTTACATATCATACGCAATGAACTCTGCATAGCATTGACGAAGTATGCTCAATTTTGTACAACTGTACACCTGATGTAATTATTAAGTTCAGTAATATGTGTACATATAAAAAGCCAAACATCCACAGAAGCAGCACTGTACAATGTTTAACTGTCCAGTAAAAACAAGAAGCGTAACTTCACCTTCAGCCAAACCAACCCTAACCCTAACCCTAACCCTAACCCAACCAACAAATTATTCTGCAAATTTTAGTATATCTTATGTTTAAAATACTACAGAGCCATCAAAACCACTGGTAAATTACCAGAGGGCTTGCTAATGTAATACTGTTTTCACTGGGATAACCATAGATCATAACTGTCATCCTGGAGCTGGCCTCGCATCTACTAACAATGCTGGGGAAAATAGTCAATGAGGCATTATTCTTAACAAATCTAAATCTAAATTGTTCCTTTATTGCCTGAACAGTTGTAGAACAAAATGAGCAGTTATTATAGACGCAAAAGTCCTATAGTCTACAGAAGTCTCAAAGTTTCTTTTAGATGTGGCCTTTGACGTGTGACTAAAGAAGTATAACCGGCCTATGAAAACACAAGTACAGACAAGAACACAGTCAAAGGCCTGTTGTCTTGTGTGTGTGCCTGAAGTTTGTCGCACAAGATTGGTAGATTTGTTGCCTTTTTAAAAGGATGAAGCCAATTATACACACGAGAAGTTTACATATGTTTGTCTTTCCTGTTATGAAGCATGTTGTTATTCGCGTTAGTACAAGCTAAGATATTTAACAAGCCTGGTGAATGTCTCTGATGTACAGCCTGAAGTCAGTGGGCACAGGCCTGTGTGCCAGAGGTGAACAGAGGGGGGCATTAACTCTGGGCTCACCCTTTTTTTTTCTAATTATGTTAGCTTGGCAAGGCTGCTGCTCCAAAGCTTTCCGTTTGGTTTCTTCCCGGTCTCGCTGCGCTGCTCCCTGTGCATCTGCTCCTCCCAGCGCTCAGCTCATCCAAATCAGACAAATGCTCTGGCGTTTCTCTTCACACGGATCAGGCTGGTGTGCTCTGCCAGGCCTCGTTGCGCCCTTGCCAATCTCTCTGACGTGATGAAAGCTGGCGTGTCAAATGCATCACGGTGAGGGGAAAATGTGGCGCTTGTGTGTGATAGACAAGCTGCAATTATCATCATCAGAGGAAGGCAAGCGTGATGAACTCTGGATCGGTTCTGTACACATATAAGCCAATGCATTGAAAAAAGTATGCTCTGAGTTTGACAATTGTGACCGAGCTCTTTGCTCTAGACCAATGTACCAGTTACAGCGGCTTGGAACGGCTTCACATTTCTCTGTAAATGTCACTGCAACCGCTGCAGGTTACAGTATCAGACAAATACCACAATAAATAAGGGCCAAAAAATGCCATGCCTTAACATTTTGAATGTACGCCCTATCCGTCTCATTACTAGTCAGCGTCCCTCCTGCCCGTCCTACCATTAGCTGTGTCCTATGCAGATAGATGCTCACAGAACAAAAGAAATGCAAAGACTTAAATAAAACAGCAAGGTCACTACGGCCCCACTCTAGTTTTACATTTAAACGAGCTTGAAGCTGACCGCCTGAAATCCAACGATTTGTTGTAGTAAAGAGATAAGGAGTTCCCAGTTGTACATTTTCAGGCACACTGTAGTTGAGCAAGATTCATGCATGTATTTACTGTAATGATAAGCTGGGTGATAGTGAAAGAATTGGAAGCTCTTTCTCAGTCAGAATAAATTGCCCAGTTAATCAGATAAAAATCTATTTAATAAGTCTCGTATGCTCTCTCGGAAAGTATTCCATGTATGGTCATTCTGACGCTCTGATGATATTGCACAAGACTAAAACCTACTTGTGTATATGTTCTATAATTTATTTGACACATTTTATATATTAATATATCACACTGTTGCTATGACGGCTATGATTTAGTAATATCAAACCGCTGTACGATGGTTTGTTTGTGAATTGACAGAATCTGAGAAGTGTCTACCGGATCACATTTTACATTATCACAACCATTGATTTACACTACAGGTTTCGTCAACATGAAGTGAGAAATGGTGAACTGATAAGAAATCGTTCTCGATTAGGTGTGTGTATCTCTCCCTCTCAGACGCTTCAATATGTTTGTAGATGCAGTTGGATGCAGCAGGGGCTGCTAACGCTAGCATTACTTGTTACTTGCTGATGTTGACTGCTCCATTTGATGACTTTACTGTCAGTGCATGTCTCCTTCTTAAATTAGTATTTGTGCTGATAGACTGCTGATAAAATGAAAGTGTCAGGCAGCAGTGCACGCCGCGGTCCAGACGTTTCTTTCTGTGTTGACTTGTTGTGGGTGGCTTGAAGTAGGTATGTGATTTGAGAATTTAGTGAGCTAGTCAGAGAGACGTATGTGCAGAAATATCTAATGCATCTCCAATTATCTAACGCACATTCTTACTTGCAGACTTGAAGAAGACCCTTGCAGTGTTGCTGGATAACATCATGTTGAGGCTGGGCAAGCTAGAGTCCAAGGTGGAAAACATCTACAATGGCACAGGGGGCAACCTGACCAACAGTCCCAGCACTGCCACACCCAGCGTCGCAAACTCCGAAAAAGTTAACGTGGCAGGTATGTATTGCATGTTTTGTTTTTGCTTTTGAATAGTTGGGAGTGTTTGTGTGCATGTTGTGGTGAGGTGGTAAGGGAGGGAAAGCTGAAAGGATTTGTCTTAAGTCTGGATTTGTACGCATCTTCGATAAAAGCAGAAATCTGGTCCCAAAGGATTGCAGCTCTAACTGAAAAGGCACAAAAGAGCTGTCTCTCCAGATGCATCCCCGTGGAAGAAGTTGGCGTCAGAAAGCCATTATTCTCATGAACTCTGACTCATGAATGGGCACGTTTATACAGTTTTTCCTTCCAGAAAATCCCTGTTGTTCAGATTATGAAAGTGCATGATAAACATATAGTAGCTGAGACCAATTAAACAAATATAGATAAGCCGATTGTGGCTCTTTTCTATGACCCTTGTTTTATTTCGAAGATTCCCATCGTGAAAAACATTCCCGAGGCTTACAACCAGCTAAACTCTGCCAGTATTGCACAGTGCACACCAGGCACTTTATGGGACCAGACCGCATCCTTGGACATAATTCAAATAAGGCCTCTGTTCACGCTGCATGACCCTTTTATTAGTTTTCATTGATTTTCCTGCCAGCTTTCAGATGATGAATTCAGCCCAGTTGAGAGAGTGAGGTGTTGGTTTTTCTGGGATCCTGGGACTTGCTCTCCGTTGTTTGTGCAGCATTAAACAGTAGGAATGTGGAGTCTGTGCTCTGAAGCAATATATGGAGAATTGGATTAGGCTGATTGAGTTGTACAAAGTCACATTTGAATGGATCTAATCCTAATGACAGCTGCTGCACTGCCATTTATTATCAAATGTTCATGCTGCCTTCGTAACTTTCTGTCTTTTAAGACCTTGAATTGGATAGCAATAAGTTTACATGATGAATGGACATGAACGTCATATGAAAATGACTGATGGTTATCAAGACGATGAACGTCATAGACAACCTTCTGACATGTCATGATGACTGAGAATCTGAGTTCCTTGTTTCTGTTGGAGACCTTTTTCTATTAACATCAAACCACTAGTGTCACATCCGTTTGCTTTTTCTATAGCGCCTAGAATAGTATTTCTTGTTTCATGTGAGTGATGCTGTAATCATAATTTAGTTTCGGTTACTCTGTCTTTGGATCCTCAAAGAGCTTTTCTCTTATCCTCAATTAAAGCTCATAGTCACAATCATATTCATAATAAAGTCTTAACAGAATGTAAAGAAATAACTGTTTGTGTTATGTGAAAGATGTATTCTTCTGCAGAGATATATCTACTGAAGTTAGCATGCTAACCAGCTAGCCCCCGGCCTCTCCTGTATACCACTTTGCATCTCAAGAGCCTATAGTGAGTCACTGTAGCATTAAGTCTGCTCTTAGTCCAACATAAGTCCTATTAGAAAATGACAGTGATTTTGGCAGCGTAGCCTCCTCAGGTACACACCATGTCCTCAGATAGTGTGTTTACACGCTGCACACACTGCCGGGTGTGTACAAGAGTTGGTTCTCTGACTGTTCTCAATCCGGCCATTGTGGACACTAGAGATGAGACACTAATCTCATATACCATTGTCGAGGCACTCTTGGCTTGAGCTCCTCTGTTGTGCAGCGATAGTACCTGGACTGTGAAACGCGTCAATAGACCTGCAGTGCCCTGTGCGCTTAAAACTTCCAGTGGTACCCCTGAGAGACAACATTTGGATCCTGAATGTGGGTCAATCCGACAAAGCGGCAACCACATCTCTCTTGGCAATGAACTAAAGGCCCCAACACTCCAGAGTATCCATTGGAGCATGTCTCCTGTCTTGGAGTGGGTGGCAGGCAGCACTATTGCCAACTCCACTAGTGCTCCTCCCTGACTGGAAGGTAATTACAGAGATAAGAATCTGGACAGTGAGGGAAACACGCCTGGCTTTAAGAGAAGCTGCTATCAAGATGGAGCAGAGCAGCAGCCCAGGGACTGCACTGTTTCCACCTCAATTGTATAAATTTTCATAGCAAAGGCCTCTTAAAGTATTGCAGAGGAAGAGCAACAAGATGGCATCGTTTGCAGAGCACCAGTGGAATCTCAAATGACGAAAGCAATGTGGAAAACGTGACGGTAATATGACACTTCTGTCTGCCATCACACCTGTACCTGACAGGGGAGAGAGTGCTAAAAGATGGTTCAGCCTAGTAACTGATTGGGGAAAAAACGCCAGTCAGTTCACTTGAATGCTCGTTGAATTAGACATTATGTGACAGAAATCCGCAAACGCATAAAATAACTGGCATATGGAAATAGAAGTCTCATTATCTGCAATATTAGGATGACAATACAGTGCAATTTGTCTTTCTTAGGAAACACACTGCATGGTGTTGGATACACTTTTATTTCTCCCCATAGTACCTCTGAAATCCCTAATTGCACCAATTTTAAGAAGGCTGCTTTGAAAGAAAAACATGATTGAACATCCCTTAATGTTCAGGGACTCTGATGATTTGCTTACGGTTCTGAAATTACACAACAAAAGTTTAAAAAACATGTATTGAATATCCTGATACTTAATTGTAGCCTACTGAGCCTCATGTTAACATATTATCAATGTAGCAGCTACTATAAGTCTTTGTTGTCCTCCGCTGCTTACTGCTGCTGTTATGAACCAACAGCTGTGCACAGATTGTAGAGCACTGCTTATTTCTTGTGATTGGTCATCTTACAAAAATGTGGGCCGCTCTGATTGCTTTACAGTCACACTCCATTGTGTGTGCTGTAAGAACTGCGTTGGCGCTTTGAGAAAAAAAAAATGTTATTAACATGCCACGTTTAAATTTGCTGCCACGCTAGCTCTGTGTATGCACAGGAATAGCTTCGGCCTTGTGTGCTGTTGCATTTAGCCAAGGACAACAGGCGCAGAAGCCCCTCATAGGATCAAAACAAGTCGATCTGGCCTTAGTTGCTGCTCAGCAGGAGGCAGATGGGACTCGGTCCAACAGCAGTCTGTGAAGCCCTGTCTTGCCGTGTCTCGCTGATGTGGCTAATCAACCTCCCCAGCAGTGTTTCATCTGTGGGCCGGCCTGTGGCATGGAAATGTAATCTCCTCCTACACACACACACAAACACCCAGGCGTAGAGACAGATGTAATGAATGGTCAGGTGGTGATTTGCAGCCATCTAACAGGGCTTCCCTTCCCTCTTTCTCCGTTTTGTTCCTTCTGTGATGTATTTCTCCACCCCTTGCGAGTGTTTAAAGTTATCAATGTCCCCCTACGTCTCAGCCACACTGCCTGTGACATTTGGCTGATTTGTAGCATCCTGTCTGTCTGACACTGTTGGCTTTTTCTGTAAACAGAGACCTGTGCTTTCACAGCTCATGGCGTCTTCACTGCTTTGTCTCTTTCAGCTATTGATCCTCTGGTATCTTTGTTTGCCGTTCACAGTGAAAGATGAGAACCAAGGTCTCAGTGTCAACAAAGGAAAGGGACAAGGACAGTGTTTCTGCTGGGGATTGCAGGTGTCCTGTTTACCTCATGGTTTCATTGAACCCTGCACTTTATTTTAAACATTTAGCTAATGTCCGCCTTACAGTATCTAACTTAAAGGAGGCCAAAAAGGTTGATTTCCGTATTATAGTCGAGGATTATTTTCTTGCAGAATCTGAAAACTGAATCCACGCACAATCACCATACAATTATGGTTTTAATACAGAAAAAACATCTTTTTTTAGGGCAGAGACTGTGGTCTCCATTATGTCCCGGAAAGCCTGTTTACTTCTTCAGTGTACAGATCAATACTGATAAAGAACACACATACACACAAACCCACTCAGTGCTAATAAGTTGCTGAGAGTTGCTGTCTGCTCCCACACACTTTCAAACACTCGCATGAATCCTGACACTCATCACTGTACAGTTTAATTAAAATTTTAGCAGCAGTATAATTGAAAGCAGAATTAGAATCATTAATTTTGTAGTGGTGGTGATTTATACTTTGTCGTATTTTCACCTATGTTCACCTTGGTGTTTTATACTGCAGCAGCAAACTATTGTAAAAAATACAAAGTTACTCGAGGAAGAAGTTAATTAAAGGAATTATTTATATCCATCTTTATTTTTCCTGCAGATTAATATTGTAATCCTGAAGCTTTTTAGTCTTGGTTCATTTGGCTGGGTCAGCGGTGACAAATGCAAAGCATTTTCTGTGGCTGCTTCACAATAAAAGTCACCTTGTGTTTCGCAACTTGAAGGCTTTTAATTTAAAGCAGCTGCAGTAGAAAATGTTACGTTTGCATTCGTGGTGACTTGATACAATGCAGCAACAGTAAAAAGTTAACAGTCAGGCTGTAGTATTAATTAGATACAATTGCTGAATTACACACTTGTACTGTTTCCTGTAAATCCCATAAGTGTGTGTGGCGGCAGTTTGAAACCAGCACGCAAATGGTGGACTCTGCTAACAATAAAAACTACTGTATGAATACTGAATTCAGCAGCTCATGCAGAAAAATGACCGTTAAGAGTAAAAATCTGGTTTGATTTGTATTTGAAATGCAGTCAAATAACTGGAGGGGAAGTGTATCTCAGCTCCAGAGCCTCCACATCTGTGTTTATCGGCCTCCATCAGACAGCAAGCACAGACAGGCTCTTCCACTGCAACTGTCAGTGTGTGTGGTTGTGTGTGTGTGTGTGCGCAAGTTTTTCTTTTACGCATGGAATCCATCGCAGAAAAGCAAGTGTTGCAAGTGTGAATTTGTGACTATCTTGTGTTGTGTTATTGCAGATCCCTAGAGGCCCCTCCCATATGGAGTGCATCAGATCTTATAGTAGCGTTGTAAAGAAAGAGCTAGAAACTGCAGACAGTTTTGCTTTCATTAAGTTTTCTGCCGGGAATGCGTCCTGGGGCGTTGTTGACGGGGCTCGTGGGATCATCACACACTTATCTTTCACATGTTAATGCTTAAATCACACCACTGCTGAAACCCCCAAAATGTTGGCACAAGAATTTTAATATATACAACATATTTTAAATGTAA